TCTCTATATTTGTCTACTGTCCCCTCTAGGTTCTATCTTAATTCCTTCATCTAGTTCTGTCCCTTCTAGGTTCTCATCTATCTAGTTCTTTCCCCTATTGGCTCCTCTCCCGTCTCCTTCTCTCTCATCTGGCTCTTCCTCATCTTGTTCTTCCCCATCTGGCTTTTCCTCATCTTCCATCTCATTCCTCTAGTCCTCTCTTTTAGCCCTTCAATCTAGTTCTTCCCCATCTCAGTTCGTTCCTCTCAAGTTCTTACCCATCTAGTTCTTCCATTCTCTTTTCTCTTCTCTGTCTCTCCATGCCCTGGAAGTCCTGGTATATATACACTTACAAGGAGTAATCCCTTAGCCGTGCAAAGCCAGGCTTCCAGGGTCAAATGGAGGGGTGATAAGAATCACATAGGGAGGCAATAACCGTTAATTATCATTTGCAACCCCAAAGGGAAGTGACCAACAGGGAAATGAATTAATTAAAGCCTAAATTCAGGTAATATCTAAGAAGAGGGCTCTTACGTGCTCAACTATAATCTTAAATGTGATTGGTAGAAAGTGTTAAGAATCTATAAGTTGCCAGATCAATGGGAGAAAATAAAACTGTCTTCTTTTTTCCTGTGGCTCCTATCTGTCCAAGCTATCTGCCGTTTTTTCTGCAGGGTGGGGGAAAGTGTGCTCAGTCGCTAGGCAACCTGTGTACAGGTAGATGCCTCTGGTGATAGTTAAAGGGAGGTCTGGAACTGGAGGTAAGGTTTGGGAAAGGAGCAAGTAAGGCTTAATTGGCGCATCCGCCAGGCCTTCTCAAACAGGTGGGCTGGATGCTTAAGTCTATTCTTAGAAAGTATGGAGGTATCTCTGATAAGGTACTTTCCTCCATCTGGGGATGGACCTGGCAGGATGCTGCCAATGATGATAATTACAGGGAGGCTTGAACTGGAGTTCTGGCTGAGCATAGCTGTCAGTGCAGAAGGTTATCTAAATATTCCTAGAAGTGGTTAGGTGAGGAGTTAGCGGTCTATAAAGTTAGTAAGGCTGTAAGAAAGGAGGGTCCGAGCTGAATTGTGTAAAGCTATTACTTAACGTCCACCTGACCTAGGCGGTGTCTCCTTGTGGAATTTATCTTAAATCAGGAGACTTGCATGTGGACTGTTATTACTGCTAGTCCTTGAAAGTAGCCAAGGGAGATATCTGATTCCAGAGAAAGCCTTTCCTGAGGCAGTTCTCCAAATACCTGGAATGTGTATGTCCAGAGAGTGATCAGTCCACACTGTTAGCCCTTCTAGGGAAAAGTCAATTGGTAAAGCTATGAAGGCACACATGATTTCATAACAGAATACAGCTGATATATAACAAGCCAAGTAACACCAAAAACTCCTTGGGATGTGGCTTCCTCTGGAGGAATTCCCTGATTCCTCCAGGTAGTGACTTTGCCATAACCAGCTAAGTTCTTATGATATTCCTGCGGCCCGCAGCATGCTACTGTCTTTACTGCCATAACTGTTCTGTTTGTGGGGGAAGAAACGAGGGCATAGAAAAGTCTTCCAAGGCCAATCAGCTCAGAATCAGAAAAGGTCAGATCCAGACCACCTGGGTTCAGAATCTGAGCATTGTCCCAACCACTGTGCTATTTCATCTCTGTGGTTGTCAAAGATAATTCCAACATAAAGGCTAAAGTTTACTTGGGCTTAATGCAGACTGCTTTAACTTACTAATGAGTACATAGAAATAGTCACAATTAAACATATGCTCCGACATATTTGGTTTACATGGGATTAAAGTAAATAAAAGCCTCAGTTTTCTGCCTGGAATTCAACACTGTTCTTTCACATCTTTCTTCCTAGGATATCTTCCTGATTTAGTCAGAGGTCAGCAAGCTGGAGCCTGCAAGTCAATCTGGCCCATCACTTGTTTTGAAAATAAAGTTTTATTGGAAATAGGCCATGTACATTCATACACAAATACTATACTTATACATTCTTTAGACAACAAAGGACGACTATGTAGCTGTAATTACAACACTATGTGATCCATAAAGCCTAAATATTTAGCCTTTACAGAGAAAGTCCATTAATGGTTTCTAGCAGGGCATCCAACATTTTGGCTCCTCTGTGCCACACTGGATAAAGAATTACCTTGGGCCACACATTCCAGGAAGTATCCAACCTATTACCCATGGGTTATGAAACCACTTATGGGTTTATTCTGTGTGATGCTGCTGTCCTGGACCATAGTGGAGGCTGGGCTTTCTTGTGTAAGGTCTAGTTTAGTAAATATACACTACCATTAGTGTGCTGGGTTCTTTCCAAACGCTAGCCTTCTAAAAGTGGTGCCTGCCATACAGGGTTCAGTTAATGAGAAGATGCTTTGTGGAGTCCAGTGCAACCCAAGACCCCAAGACCCCCTTCCATATCATGCTGTTCTCTAACCACAACGAAATGCCAAGTCTCCTGTAAACCTTGCTTCTGTGTGGTGAAATCATCCAGGTTCCGAGAGAATAAAGTCAACTGCTACTTCCACCTGCTCAGCCCTCCTAGACTATAGCAGCCACAGAAATGGTCCCTCCGCCAATGCCTAAAGGACTCTGGCTCTTTGCTTGTGATGCTTAATGCTTTTTCTCCTTAAGTTATCAACAAAATGAAACCTACTTTTATAACTCATATAAAATCCAGCACCATGCCTGACACATAAGCAGCACTTAATATTCACCTCAAGAACCAATGACTCTAGATTTCAAAACAACACTGCAGCATTCCAAGCTGCTTGTACTTATATTTATTTACTGATTTTTAGAGGTTTGGTTTTTTTTTAATTACATGTACATGTGTGTCTATGCATAGGTATGTACAGGTAAGTAAGCACAGGTCAGAAGAGCACACAGCATCCGATTTCCTGGACCTGGAGTTACAAGGAACCCTGAGCCCTCTCAAGTGGGAACTGGCACCTAAATGCAAATCCTCTGCAAGACAGCTCCATTCTTACTGCTGAGCCAGCTCCCCCAGCCCCTCCAGCTTGTATCTTTAAGTAAAATTATTTGAAGATTAATTTTCTTAATTGTTAGTAGATAAGAATCCACCATAATCTAAAGAACAGAAATGTCTAGCATTTGTTTTTGGAATTTTCAGCCATATTTCTTATGAAAATCAATTTTAAAAGCAACTAAAATTAATAATTAAGTACATTTAACATTTTATCAATATCATAAAAGGATAAATGTAATATTTGAATCACCTACACTGTTGTATTACTTTGCTAAGATAGAATACTTTACAGTGATAGTAAACAGTCTAGTAAGTTTTAGAAATTAAGAATGAATCAAGCAACCATGTTCAAGTACTATGAATTAAATGAATATAGAGACCATTTAAGTTTAAAACTAGCGTTTTTGAAGTTCATTCTGTTAGTGAGTTAAATGATCAATTCCACCATTGTAGAAATAATGTCACTTTAACGTAGACACTCCCTATGAAGATATGAATCCAGTTTGAAATCTGTCATGTTCTCTGTGTGGTCAGTCACATAACAGACATTATCAGGGAAAAGACACTTGGCATTCCCAAGGGTGAGGAGGCAGCCCAGCCTGACACCCACCTGCATCACCTTCTGCTGGATCTCCTCTAACTGCGTGCGCTTACTGCGCTGCCTGCAGACTTCCTGGTAGCGCGTGTACTGCTCCCGGAGTGAGTCTAACAGCTTCATAACCTGTGGCTGTGCGAGCAGCTCATCATCCATAGGAGACCACGAGACCCCTCCATCAGAGCCGTTAAACCGACGCTGCTGTAATTCAGACAACAACTCATGCCCTTTACAAACGAAAGATACTTGTAATTAATGCCCACAAAAAAATACAATCCCTACATGTCGATCTTCTACATTCTAGTCCCTGATTTTAACGCCTATTCCCCTGCCTTCTCATAAAGAATAAAATGCAAGTTAAAACTTTATATATCACAATGAGTAGGAAAACTGCATATATGCACATAGATGAGAACATAATCATTTTATATATACTAGGAAAAATTTTGAAACAAATGGCCAATTGTGTAACTATATAAACCCTATACACCATAGTAAATGTAGAATATATGTGGACATCTATATTTATCAGGTTCTTGGTGGAATAACTACTTAAGATATTATGTCAATAAATCCTCTTTCTCTGTAGAGCAAAATTATATTCTGTAATTTCCATTACTAATTCAAGAAATGTGTTAGAGGGCTTCAACTCCTCGCTCTCAAGCACAGAACTTAAAATAAAAGTTGACAGTGAAGGAAATGCATTATCAAAGTAACTGGAGAAAAGTTTCATGAGCAGTGCAAAATGATACTGAAATCACCTCTAAAGGAACATCTATAACATACTGACTGATTAATGAACATGCCATAGTAGTGGAAGAATTACCTATAGCAAACTCACTCAGGAATCCACTCATACACAAGAAATTGACACAGAAGAATATGTAACAAAAATATATAACAAGCATATTTACAATTTTAAAAATAAAGAGACTGTTTGCCTAGGATAAAACTATTCTGATTAATACAGAGGTATCAAAAATACAGACATTATAAATCTTCTTCTTCTCATCTTTATTTTAGAAGTATCCTAAATTTAAATAGCTTTTAAAGTATAGGAAGCATTTTTATTATAGCTTTCAGATATAACCAATTTCTAAAAAAAAAAACCAAAAAACAAAAAACTAGATTGTTCTAAATCTCCATTATATACTTTCAATGCCTACTTTAAGTGTCCATAAAACAAAACTTAGTGCACATATAGAAATATTGAAATGCTCTTAAATCAGTAGTTTAAATAAGATGCTTTCAAAAAATGCTAAGTAATTCATGGAACTAAGTATTCATATAAGATAGTACTTTTACTGACCAACTATTGTAATTTCTAAGCATGTAAAATGTGTAGATGGTAAGTATTCCTTTACTCCCTAAGGAACTAAAATCTATACCATACTGAAAACTGAAATACAGCTGAATAATTATATCAAATCTATTCTGATTAAAAAAATTATTCCTGGCATTTTATAATTGGAAAAACATTTGTTTTAAAAATCTGTACAAATACTTAAACACATGGAATGTTGCATGGGCTCCATATATATCTTTAATATCAGAATCCATTATTTTTTTCCTACCCTGACAACTGTTATCTTAGCATTTCTACCAGAGAGCACTTAGGACAATTATTTCAGAAAACAATCTGCTGCCTCAGTGCCTGGGCTTAGGTTCTGACTAGAGGGTTTATTGACTGCATATACACATGATTAACTCTGCCATCAAGGAAGGACTGTGGCCCGGTGCCTGCTGGGAATGTATGCCACTCCTGAGCCACACCTTTAGCCCTTGTTTATGTTCCTGACTCTGAGATGAGGTCTCCACAAGCCCCTCAAGCTTCCGTTTAACTCATGTGGATCAGGCAGACCTTGAACTTGTTACCTTCCTGACCCTGCCTCTAGGAGCTGTGCCACCAGGCCCAGTGTGACTGTTTCTGCTTCAGTGTTACACCTTCTGAAAACAGTATGTAACAAGCGCTCCCTCCCAGATCGTGTTGAAGGATAAAAGAGTTACCACACAGAGGACTTAGATCTGTGCTGGGAACCCAGGAAGACTGGGAGGATAAGCTATTAATGTTGGAGGAGATTAGAAATATTAAAAGGATTCTAATGCATTCTCCTAGAAGTGATGGCTCTCTGTTGCAGACATGGGGCTAGCACACACGCATCATGGAGCAGGGGCATCAGTGCAGAGCATGGAGCAGGGGCATCAGTGCAGAGCATGGAGCAGGGGCATCAGTGCAGAGCATGGAGCAGGGGCATCAGTACAGAGCATGGAGCAGGGGCATCAGTGCACAGCATGGAGCAGGGGGCATCAGTGCACAGTATGGAGCAGGGGGCATCAGTGCACAGCGTGGAGCAGGGGCATCAGTGCAGAGCATGGAGCAGGGGGCATCAGTGCAGAGCATGGAGCAGGGGGCATCAGTGCAGAGCATGGAGCTGGGGGCATCAGTGCAGAGCATGGAGCAGGGGCATCAGTGCAGAGCATGGAGCAGGGGCATCAGTGCACAGTGTGGAGCAGGGGCATCAGTGCAGAGCATGGAGCAGGGGGCATCAGTGCACAGCATGGAGCAGGGGCATCAGCCCACTGCCGCGGGCTCAGTGTTCCACACAGATGAGCACGAACTGCGGTCAACTGCCTCTGTACTTGGACCTGCTTTGAACTGTGTTGATAAGTTTTCTTACTTGACTATGAACAACTGGTTTACTTAGGTTATTTTTTCATCTCTAAGCCTTGACTTCTTGAAGTATAAAATAGAGAAAATAATACGAATTATATATCTCAAACACTGTTGAGAGAATACAGCACATAACAAGTATTTAATAATCCTCGTAACAACCCAATGAGATAGAATTAAATACACTTTGTAAAACCCTTTTTATAAAATAGGAAATAAATCCAGTATTTCAAGGAGGAGATAATTTGTCACCACTAATTTTTAAATATTATACTAACACCATCATGTTAAGCCCAAAGCAGCTTGAAAAAGTTCCCTTTAAATTCCTACTATATTAACCACATACACACTGAATAAATTTTTTAAACAGACTAGTTCTTTACTAGATTACTACTATTATCACTAATAAATGTTTTGTTTTTCACTTTACCTGTCTGAAGGACTGTCTCAGGATCAACAGACGGAAGAAAGTTTAAGTCCACAGACCTGGCAGGCATCAAAAGAATCATTTTTAAATGTCATAATATTCCTATAAAGCTACTTCAGAAATTGCTTTACACAAAATTCATGTGTTCCAGAAGGACTGATGCTAACTTCTACCAGGTCAGTAAAGAGCCAACATCAGCGCTCTTCAAACTGCTCCATAATGTAGGAAATGATTGCTACCAAACTCCTGAAGCCAAAACCAGAGAGGAACACAGCAAAAGAGAACAATTTCCCTGGATGAAAACTAAATGCACAAAATCTTCGATATAATATTTGCAAACCAAATTCAACAACACATTAAGAGGATTATATACTTAACTGCCAAGTCGGGCTGGCATCACAGCAAGTATAAGAAAGGTTCAACATATATAATTAAGTAAGTGTAATAGAGAACACACAGACTTCAGGACAGAAACCTCAACAGACAAAAGCAGACAAGGGTTTCCCTTCTCTCTACTCTTAGTCAACACAGTATCTGAAGTCCTAGCTAGAGCAGTGAAGGAAAAGAACTAAAGGGAAACAAAAAGGAGAGGAAAAAGTCAAACTACCCCTTCATAAAGATGACACAGTCCATGATCATATAACCAAAACACCCTACAGAGATGACCAGAAAACTCATAGACCTGCTAAAACACGTTTAGCAAAAGTCAACCTGGAGAAACGACTAACATGAATACACATATGCATGCATGTGTGATGTCCTAACAGTTATGCTCCACACCTTCTCTACTGTGGTCCTGTTTCTTGGGCAGCTGGATTTCTGCCTTCACTTTCTGAAACATGTGAGAAAGAGAAAATTCAAGAAAGCTAGAGGAGCTTGCAAATTATAGCCAAAGACCATACTGCTATATGCTGAACTAAATTCTGTAATTTGTTAACTGACCTATGCCCTCACCTCTTGGGTAGCCAAGATGTTCCCTGAGGGCTAACATAATGAAGGTTGATAAAAATTTTCAAGAGATGGAAGGGATTCTATTACTTAAGTATGAAAAAAACTGAACAATAACATTTGAGTGTGGAAAGAGACTGGTAGACACAAGATTTTATTAATACTTCATATGGACACACAAGTCAGCATTTCCCAGTCTTTCTCAAACACTCTTACTAGAGAAAGAGAACGGGGCCCTGAACTATTGTCATATAAGCATGGGAGGTCTAAAGAAGCAATCAGACAGGCTTCTTTGATGCTGTGCTCCCTCGGAGCCCTTAGGCCAGGTTTATAGCCATGAGCAGGAATAGAATACAGAATTAAATTCTGTCCATCAACTCATTTTCTATGGGTACCTTCTTCATATGCACGTCTTTCCTGAGAAATAAAAGTGTATGTGACAGCTATATAGGAATCACATACTTAGCCATATATATGTATTTACACTTTTATAAGGTGTTGTGGAACTCTGTTCCCCAAGTAGGATACTCCAATTGCTGTTTTGAAATAGAGCAGCTACGTTTAGCATCAAGAGACTGTCCTAAGACTGGCCCATTAACATTTTCCTGTGAGAGAGGATGGGGGTGCATTAGACAGCACAAGAGGCCTCTCCCCACCGGCTGGATATACAAGGGGCTGATACTTGCTAGACCGAGAGTCTCTTCTTTGTGATACAACTGCCTATAAGTTGCCTACTGTCTTGTAGGTAACCTCTCACCCATGCTCTCCTAAGTAACCTAAATAAATTATTGGTTCACTAAGCTGGAACTGTGTAGAACCATGACTCTAGTGGGTCACAGGTGCTCTGTCTGGGACGAAAAGACATTGTCTGGGACTCCATGGGAGAAGCCACACAATATAGACTATGTACAAGACATTAACAGTTGTGACTATTTAAGGTATCCTTAATTAGACTGAAATTCAAAGTATTTGTTTTTATATTCTGAACTCATTTTAATCAACATGTGGTAAAACTATCATCCTCTTACATCCATGTGACTGTGTTATTTCAGGTGACTGACACATGACCATATTTATATTCGTATTCATAGGTTCCAATACAGGGTCACGGTCAGATGCAAAGGAGCTAGATGAGAATGCTTGCTGATTCCTGCAAACTTCCTAATAAGAAAGCACAGTTCTAGTGACCACCGACAATCAAACGCTCAGGGCTCATTTATTTCTTAATGTGCTTTAGCCTTAGGCAGAAAGGAACTTGGTCCACCAACCAAAAGGTTAAGACTGGCGAGGCTATAGAGGGCAATGAACACCCTGGTAAGGTAGTAAGTCTGGAAAGCTACAGATGGATGATACAACTCAACCACTATGTCAAGTATGATGAAATGCCGAACTCTTTACGTTAAACTTACAACTATCAAGTTTCAGGACAAGAATTCTATATGTTAGATATTTGGTTCTAATGAACTTAAATAAAGTTGTAAGAATTTTATTTCGAGCTGCAGGTGTTCCCAGGAAAAGGCAAAACCAAGAAGAGTAGAAAGTGGCTTCATTTTCAAAGTATGTTCTTATAACACAATGCTTCCCAGGACAAGGAAAAAGGAAAACAGCCAGGCTCATCAGAAAGTACCTTTTTAAAAGCCAACTTAAGTCAAAGGAGGGCTGTGTGTGTCACGCAGATGCTCACTAGCTGTGTGTGGCAGTTCTGAGTAGAGCTTTGTTCACTGTGGTCCTCTTAACCTGAGCCAGCAGCATGGGCATCCTTCACCAGATGACCGTACCTACCTCTCCTTCTCCTGCTCATTCCCCTTATCACTTCCATTGTTAATCAGAGCCAGCTCATCCAGTAATGATGTAGACTCCTTTGTAAACTTCTCAAAGACCTGCAACAGGAGAGTGTATAGACATACCATGAAGAATCTCAAATCAATACATAATAAGGACTTCAGTGAACAGCAGCAGCATTAGTCAGTGGGATTTCTTTTCCTTCTCAGAAAGTCACATGGTGCAGTTCAACCACCAGAGCACAACAGTGCACAGAGCCCAGAACAAAATCACATCTCAAGCAATGAAGATGGAATGGCAATGGAATTTTCAAATTTAAATGCATTAAAGTATTCAAACTTTATTTTTATAACTTATAAATATAATATATAATGAATAATATAATTTATTTCCATTCTTATCCTTCTTTGAGAACCATCTGTACCAATAAAAAATTTCACAACTACACAAATGTTACTGAGACCAGTTATAGCCACCAAATTTAGTTACAGACTATTTCTTCAGCTTCAGACCAGTCAAGACTGATCGTATGTAACAGTCAAGAGGTTTACAGACAAGTATGTAGTATAAAGATACATTACTTATCATTTTAACATGAGCCTGTAAGTATTTCTGAGAAGGGATTTGGGCACATCTGAACACAGGTAGACAGACATACAGATGTCTGATAGACGTGTCACTGTTTAGATACAGGGCAGGAATGGCTGTTCATTCAGGGATAGCCACAATTCCCTAAAGTCAGCACGCAGTCTCAAGAGCTACTTTAGATACCATTCTCTCCACAATTCAATAAAAGAATGCTGTGTGACACAGAGCAGCACACCTCAGAAGTCTGGAAAAGGAGAAGCTTTCCAAAATGACAAGCTTAGTCTGTCACGCTGCACCGCAGGCTGATAACTCGAATGATGAGTATCTTCTGAAATGGTTGTGTCGTGGAGACCACCTCTCAAGACACCGTGCTGCTGTCACTCTGCTTTAAGGGCCATCCTGAGCCAACGGTACAGCTAACGCAGAGTGCTACTGTGCCCTGCCGGGCTGATCTAAATATTTCAGTCCGTATTCGTTTTGTCTTGCTCACAATTGCACAAGATAGTACTATTATTACGATTACTGTGCTATCGATAGGAAAACTAAGACATAGAGAAATTAACTATCAGGGAAGGTCACACACCCAGTCTCTAGCATCAGGACTCTAGCCAAGTGACCCTGACTACAGAGTGTGGACTCCAAACACTACTAGGACACACAATGTGCTACTTCATTTTTATAGAAACAACCTACATCTCAGTTGATTAAAATGAGAAAGTTAGTCACATGTAGAGACATTTGACTATCTTGTTTTATAATAATATACCCACCAGCCTCTTATTTAGCCAGTCCATGTGATCGTAGGTAAGACTCCCACCAAAGTCTTCTGTCAGCTGGCATGGCTCTATGTAACGAGTCAGCTTATTGGCAGACACTAAAATAACCTATGGAGGAGAAGAAAAAGCACTAAGTGAACTATTAAAGTCTCCGAAGGTAAATAAAGAAACAGAATTAAGGTAAAACATGCAATACTGCTTCAAAATGATAGCAAATTATCGTTTATTTGGTTAATGCAACAACATTTCAAATCAATTCAATTATGGTTATCTGCTTTAAAATCTACCAAAAAATTCTGACAATACCAACATTTTTTTAAAAAAATACTAGCAGCTCAGATAAATCTATTTCAATACCTTATCAATATTAAAAATCCATTGGTAATAAAAATCTTTTCCTTAATAAAATCATTTGACAAAGAATTTTTATAACAGTTTAAAATTAGCTGGCTGAACTAAAATGATAAAGAAGTACTTTCTAGGCAAGCCCTGTACTCCTAGCATCCAGACTGTGACATCCAAACACCATTTCTCAGTGAAAGGACCAGACGAGTCAGAGTGCTGACGAAGTATGCAGAAGAACACCATCTCGCCCAGGTCACTAACACTGACAGAGACCACTATGGCAGCACCAAAGGGGCCTGGAAAGATCTTCACTGACTAAAGACGTCCGTAAAAATAAAGTGGACTGAAACACTGAATGGTTTAAATCTGTGAACCTAAAAGAAATGGTAATCTTCAGGCTAAGCCAAGGGATGAAGTCATTATGTTGAAGATCAGCAACAGAGGGCGGTAAACACGGGCAGCAGCTTCCGTAAGAGGGACGGGTGGCGGGCACACAGCAAGAGGGACGGATGGCAGGCACACAGCAAGAGAGACCAATGGTAGGCACACAGCAAGAGGAACGGATGGCAGGCACACAGCAAGAGGGACGGATGGCAGGCAAGCCTCTCACTATGCAAGCGCTCCAGCAAGGACACGGAGAAAGTGCAGTAGAACTGAGAGGCTGAGACACTGAATGGCACAACCATTAACAAAAAAGGATAATGGTCGACAAGGGAGTCTCATTATCAAGGAACACATTGCGAGGAGAGCAGCCTTGGGGAAATGTGACTGTGGAAATCAAGGCTAAAGATGGTGAATGTGTGTTCAATATATTGCAGGATGCTCACTGCAATGTGCCCATGATGGGAATGCTGCATCTGTCCAAGGTGCAAAAGATGAAAGCTGGTCTGCCCAAGAATGACAACAATGTGTTTAAAAAAAAAAAAAAGAAAGAAAAAGAAAAGAAACTGAGGATTAAAAAGCTTCACTTAATGGAAAAGCCCATGACCCCACAACCGACACCAGGAGGACTGCATATTTGTTCCCAGGAAGCAGACACCATTCAAAATCCTTCCTGTGTCTGTAACAGTCCTCAAAGAAAACCTCAGCAGATGGAAACAAAACAAAAACCTAACTGAAGAAATAAAACGAATTCCCAAGAAACACAAAACACTGCTAACAACATTTCCAAAGAGTAAAAATCAATTTGTTCTGAGCTGTACATGAACTATGAGAGACCACAGCCCCATTCAGGCTGCCCAAAGAACGTGTTCCTATGTAGAAGCAGTTACTCGGACTTTATAGACACAGAAGGAAAGAAAGTGGTTCATGGAAAGCCTTTTTCAATCAAAGCTTTCTGATCATGTTCTCAGCTTTCAGGTTGGTGGAAGCTAGTAGTCTGCTGTTAATCCATTCTGAAGGTCTTCTTCACCTGTCGTTGAGATGACAGTAGGTCAGACACAGAGGTGAGCTATTGGGGGGGGCTAAGGATGGCCCAAAGGAATCTGGCTCTAGATGTATAATATTCCAACTCTCCACAAAGTTCTAATAAACTTCTATCAAAACTAAAAGACTAAATGTGGCCAGGCGTGTCTTTGACAAAGGAACATAAAGGACACCTTTGATCCTGGATCTCACCACTGACAGACATCAAGAAAGGTAATAAAGCCGGGCGGTTGTGGCGCATGCCTTTAATCCCAGCACTTGGGAGGCAGAGGCAGGCGGATCTCTGTGAGTTTGAGGCCAGTCTGGGCTACCAAGTGAGTTCCAAGAAAGGCGCAAAGCTACACAGAGAAACCCTGTCTCGAAAAACCAAAAAAAAAAAGAAAGAAAGAAAGGTAATAAGAACAGAGAAGAACACAAATTTGAATTAATATACTTTTATTATCATGAGTGTTTACAGATGAAAAGGGGTGGGGGCAGCATTCTGATTTTGGGTGTCTCCATTTGAGGACAGCATTAATGCCAGGTCTAGTCTTGTCACTAACACATACACTGTCCTCTGACCAGCGACACTTGTCAGTCATTGGTGAGGTGCTCCTGGGGGGCAGAAGGAACTTGAACACACTGCTAGTGAAAAGGAAGCTGAGCAGGTGGGTATGGATTCAGACAGGAAGGATGACAGAGAAACACTGAAGTCAGCAAGGAAAGGCCTATCCAGTGGACAGAGAGCGGTACTGCCCAAGTGAACAGGAGAGAGGTCACTAGAGGAAAAATTCACATGGGTGGGAAAGAAAATGAGAAAGCCTGTGGGAACAATTGACAGGACCACAAGTTGCTCAGCTGATTAATGCTGTGGAAAGCTGATAGTGAAACTTTGGTATATTATATCTAATTCTAGAAAGTAAAGAACTTGGTCATGCTTGTAAGAACATCAGTATTTGTAACAAAATTATACTGTTAAAAAATAAGTAGAATATCTACAAAGACATAGGGTTTTTTTTTTTTTCATCAAAGCCCAAATGATCAGAAATGACTCCAAGGAAAATAATTTTCAATTAAATAAGAATCAATGTTGATGAGAAAAGGAAGAAACAAAGAGCTAAAGAGGCCCACAGAAATCCACAAAGATACCCCCACAAAAGACT